GTATCTAAATATAGCCAAACATAGAAAAGGTACAGTAAAAATATAGTATTGTAAGCTCATGGGATCACCATCGTATATACAGTCCATCGTTGACCAAAACATTGTTATGTAGTACATGACTGCATATCTCTTGATTATAATGCCTTTTAATTTTTAAATCATTTCACTGAGAAAGGGTAAAAAAAAAAAAAAAAAAAAAAACCTGGAAAAATTAAAACCCTGAAAATGCATTTTTATTTTTAAAAGTGTAATACTGCAAAACACTTAACTCATTCACCAGTTTCTGGATTAGCTAGCTGCATCACAGTGATTTGGGAATGTAGAAAAAAACTGTGCATTGTGTGTGTCTTTGTGTGATCTTTAAAAAATTATATATTCTCTGAGCTCCAACACTCAGAGATTCTGATCCAGTGCATTTTTTTAAATCTGGTTTTCTTTTTGTATAACCTTGGAGGGGATGGCGGTGTACCAGGCTAGGATTGATTGCTCCGAAACAACTTTCCTAACGAGTAAGTTCAAAACCCCAAGATGAACCATAAACCACAGCCAATCTGATAAGCTGAATTGATAATTCTGCATCAGAACAGCAGCAAGCTGCAGAGACTTTCAGGGCAAGCACAACCACCTAACCAGACAATGATCTTATCTTGCCTCTCCCAATGCCCCCACAGCTGCTTCTGACTCTCACAGAAAGGGGAGAAAGGCACCAAAGAACCTCATGAGACCCAACCTCTGCCCCCCACTCCTCCACGGAACATGACTCTACCTCAGAGGCCCAAACAAGACTTATTACCCATGTTCTGCCAATCGCCTAAACCCGTGCTGTGCAGTAAGGCCACATTTGGCCATTTAAATTTTAAGTAGAAAAAAAAACTTTAATTAGTTAAAACTCAATAAAATTCAGTTTCTCAATCCCACTGGCCGCATTTTGGGTATTCCACAGGCTCATGTGGCTACTGTACTACACAGCAGAATACAGACTATTTCCATTACAGAAGATTCTATTAGACAGGGCTGACCCAAAGCAGTAATTTCATTACGAAAAGGTGTCTGTTCACATCTTCCCCAATAGGTTTGGTTTTCAAGCTTTTGTCCAGGCCCCCACTGGAGGGACATAATGCTGCCCAGAGTGACAGTGACTGCTTAAGACAGGAATGCTGGGGGAGACAGGCAGGGAAATCTCTAGGTCATGAGAGATCTGCAAACTACCCCACCCACAGGTCCCCACATCCCGCCTCCTAGACTGAGAATCACTGTAATTCTTTAAAATTCTAAAAAGGATCCTCCTTCCAATTCCAACCACAAGTGCTAATCTTCTACGATTAGAAAAGATAAGTAAGCATACAGGTGAAAAACTAGCCTGGCCACATTGAAAGAATCAGGTATGTCTCACCTGAGAATATGAAATGTGGCCAAAAGAGTTAGTTGGAACACAGTAGTCTTTGGAAGCAAAGAGATATAAAAATGATGTTTTTAAAGCTTTATATCATGAAAAGTTTTTAATGGCAAAACAGCATGACAAACTCCCATGTACCAATCACCCAGGTTTAACAGTGATCAACTCCGGCCAGTCCAGTTTCCTCTGTGGCCCCACCCATCCTTCAAGCTGTGTCTACACAGAGGGAAGAGGGAGAAAAGCAGGGTGTACATCTTGTCCTACTTACTAACTCTCTGAGCCCCAACCTCACAGGGCTGAGAGTGGAACACACGAAACAATCCCTGCAGAACGCTCAGCCTGACATCTGGCTAAGCAGAGGCTAGATAAATGTCGGCTCTCACTGCTGCTGTGGTGACTGTCACTGTTCTTGCTCCTACCTTCCTAGACGTCTTTCTAACCCTTTTTTATAGCTAGCACAGTTTGGTTTCGTGGTTTCAATTAGGGAGAAAAATAAAAGTCTGCAACAGTCTAAATGTTGCACCCCAAATTCATACATTGAAACCAAATCACCAAGGTGATGGTAATTAGGAGGTGATTAGGGCCTGAGGGTGTAGCTCTCATGCATGGCAACAGTGTCATAAAAGAGGCCCCAGAGAGCCGCCTCGCCCCTTCCACCAGGGGAGCACAGTGAGAAGGTGCCCTCTATGAACCAGGAAGCAGGCCCTCGCCAAGACACCAAACCTGCAGTTATCTTGACCGTGGACTTCCCAGTCTCTCCAACCGTGATAAATAAATGTCTGTTGTTTATAAGCCGCCCAGTCTATGGCCTTTTATTATAGCAGCCAGAATGGACTGAGGTGGAGTCCGTATAAAAAAAGATACCACTATCACTACTGCTGCTGTGGTTCACTAATGCCTCTACCTATGTTGCTGCTACTATTTGTACAATTAGCTGTAATGATACTCGCTATCACTTTTTGAACTTTTATTCTATGTCAAGCACTGTGCCAAACCCTTTACGCACACTGTCTGACTGAATCCTCACAGGCACCCTTGTAAGGGGATTCTGTCATTATTTCTATTTGACAGTAGAGAAAACAGGTTCAGAGAATTTAAGTGACTTGCCTAAAATCACACAGCTAAGGAAATTCTGAGCCCAGATCTGCCTGACGGGAAGGCCTATGCCTTCCGCTACACCAAGCTGAACCTAAAATGCTCCTGGGGCTAAGATTTAATGAGGGGACCCACCCTTGCTCCCCACAGTGAAATTTATATCACAGATTCTAATAGTTAAAAACTCTCAGTGAAAATAGACTATCTTTCAAACAGCTAGTTGATGCTCCTTTAACTATTTTTACCTTGTTAACTATGACTCCTAGCTTTTCAAATATATACCATAAGTTTGTTTACTGTGACTAGTAGAGCTTCCTCCCCTGTGGATCCTCAAACATACGCCCCCTTCTTAAAAAGGAAGCTGTAAAAGTGAAGTTTAAGAATCAGGGTGAAACAGTCACCTGGTTTCTGCCTGGCAGATATTCTCCCTCATTTCTTTCTACAGGCAGATTTTTTTAAAGAAACAGCCAGTCGACCCTATTTTTCAAAATTCCAAGTTTGTGGTCTTGTCTCCACAACAGATTATATTCAAATAAACTAGAATTTCCACATCTAGGACTTGCTGTGGTAATGATGTTTCACTGACTGAGTTACCGTGAATTCTCTAGAAGGAATGAATCCAGGCAGCACGTTCTCTGAGGATTCTGCCCTTCCTGTATCGCATGCAATGCAGGAAGCCTGCTGCCTGCAGCCTGTTTGGGAGGGTCTGGAGACCCACGAGTGCGTGCCCTGGATAAGGAGGAGCACCCTATGGCGAGACTGTCCTGCCCATGCAAGCACAAAAACGCCCAGGAGCCTGGAGAACTATGAGAACAGAGATGAGCTGCTCCTAGAGTCTGGGGCTTCATGGACCAGTATAATTTCAGAAGTACTGAGCAGACTCACAGAGTTAAGGAAACAAGGAAACGCCAGACTCCACAACCAAAACCACAGAACAACGGCAACAACTGAACACCACAGACACGTGCACTCACAAATACTCATACTATCTTTTATCACTACCATTTCACAAAGAAAGAAATTTTAAACAGAAAAGCATTGACAGACCAGAGGCTCAGAGTAAAACACAATTCTTTCTAAGAAAAAGAGAGCTAAGCTCTCAGGTAATGAGACACATACAGAGGGCGGGAGGCAGACAGACACACAAAACATCCTCCATATTTTTCCTCACTTCCTACAGATGGGAAATACATGCTCTGGCTCATGCCAGACCACAGGCGGTCCCTGAAGCAGCACTAAGGTAGCTCTGGAGATCCTACTCACCCTGCCCTCCTCAGGAGCCCATCTCTGCCCCAGCCCCATAGGGAATCTGGCTGGTCTCTCCTGGGTCCTCACTTCCCAGGCCCCAAACATTCCCTAGTTCCCACCAGACATCTTCCCAACCACTGCCTGGGCACCAGCAACGTTCTCTGCACAGCCTGCAAACCCCAGAGGGAATTTCTGCAAGCCTCATTCCTTGAAAATAAACTCTACTTCTTCCAAAAAATGTTTTAAGGGGTCCTGTCTGGGTTCCTACACAGTGTGAGAAATGTGCAGGTCCTATTACATTCAGGTAAAGGGGTTTCAGGAGCACAAATACTGTCTCCCAAATATGAGAAAAGGGAAGAAAAATAAAAAAACATTTTATTATAATAATATTAAAATTGGAACAATTCCCAGAGAATATGAGTTTGCTAATATGGGAAAGTACTCTGCAAATGAAAAAAGTACTTCGTGCATTTTAAATCAGTTATGCAAGAAAAGTCTGAGGCCCTTCCTAGAAATAATTCATTTTCTGAGATAACTCAAGATAATGGAAGTTGATATACAACCTTCTTCCAATACACCAGCCATTCCACAGAGAGAGGTATGTGCATTATAAAAGCCAAAGCCTTCTAGGTAATAAGTGGCCATGAGTTTGATACCCTTTACAATGGAAGATATTAGTAACTCTCACACAATTTAAGATCCAAGAAAGTACGGTCATTCATTTCTAAGAAAAACAGAAAAAGCAAGACATATAAAGCTTAGATATTTTAATTAGCAGGAAGCCCCTTTTTAATCTATGCAGGATCTGGTTTTTTTTAAACTTAAAAGCCAACATTCTGAGTCCCCTACTTTCTGTGTTAGTATTTATTTAGAGGTCTGCATCTCTCCTCTCCTGCATGAGATATTTGAAAGCACAAATGTTATTCCTCTTTGAGATACAAGCACCTCACACAGGCCTGGCACAGAGTAGGTATTTAATATCTGTTTGTAGAAAGTGGCAAAAAGGCCAATAGGAGGATGAATCCGACGCCGCCTTAGTTCTTCTGCATTTCTCCCACCTATTGCCCTTGCAAAGGGTTTCATGACAGCCCAGCCAGAGACCTATGGCTGGATGGGGCTAAGTGCCCAGGCTCCACCAACAGGCTCATTCCACATAATTACTAAATCGACACCCAGCCGCTTAGCTTCCCACTGAGAATGCGACAGACAACGCAGACACTGTCCTTAGAAGAGAACTATGAGGAAAACAAAGCAGTCCTGCCTTTTCATCCTGGTACAGCTTGTTGACGCTCTCCAGCTGAAAGTTGTGGCTGGACTGGATTTTGTCGAGCTGCTCCCGTTGCTTTTCCAGCTCGCCCTGGAACTCATTCTTCTTCAGCTCCACGGCGCCTCTCTCCGCGGCTGCCCTGCGGACCCTGCCTTCCAGCTCCACGATGCGCGTCTACGAGGAGACCACAGCATCAGGGCCAATGCCAAGCCACCCCCAGGACTGGACCACCTGAGGTCCCCCCACCAAGACCACACCAGGGCCCAAGGCCAACACCCAGCCTCACGCCCGTGACATGTGCCCAAGGTTCCGTGTTTTAAGTCAACCGCAGAGAAGCTACAGGTTTTTCTGGAGAAATGGTACTGTAAGTGAAGGAAGTCTGAGCTCACCAACACACCCCCGGCAACATTCCTGCGAGGTTTAAATGAGGTAAACACACAGAACGCCTCACGCTTTACCTGGTGTGAGGTGGTGCTCCAATATTTAGTTCCTCCTCCCTGCTAACAAAGCCCATAACAACTCCTTATCAGACAAAATTTCTAAAAACAGATTCAGTTCTCCACCTCTGCACATCCAGACCTCATCTGCCCAGAGAACAGGGCTCTGGTGCAAGCTCAGGCACCGGGACTACAACCCAGAGTGAGTAAGCCTGAGAGCAGGACAAAGAACAGATAGGACGGAGTTCCACAACTGAGAACCCGTCGGTCAGAATCCCTGCTGCACCTGTACTTAGCCTCTCTGTGCCTCGGTTTGCCCACCTGTGAAATGGAGAAAGTAAAGTCTCAACCTTGTAGAATTTGTGCACAAAAAGTGCTGGTAAAGAGAAACCATTCTGACACTTATTAAAATGGTAAGAAAGACTTTACTCAAGACTATTGCAATAGGGGTCATGACTATTGAGTCACAGAAAAGCTCGGGGTCGGGGCCTATTTCAACAGCAATCCTGAACAGTGGGAGGGGTCCTCTCCTACCCAAAGCAGAGCTGATGTGGAGTCTGGCCCAGGGCTGGATGGGGAGGACGATGAATAGCACACCCCTGGACCCCATCACCCTACAACTTTAAATACGGCATCCACATAAACAAAATAAACAAACAAAACACCTGGAGATCCACGCTTCGGGAGCTCGCAATCCAATAGTTGAAGCCCAGGACGATGATGCAGGCCACCAGGGCAGCCAGCACGAGGGGCGGCGACTTCATGCTGCGACGCCCGTTTCCCAATCCCATCATCTCAAAAGCGGGGCTGAGAACCTGCCAAATAAAAACAAACAAATAAGCCTCAATGCTAGCTAGTATCCCCATCCCCGAAGCAGGCTGCATCATCATCACAACCACCAGGGAAGGCGTCCTGCCAGGAAGCACAGACTCTTGAAGCTGCGGAAGGAGAAGAGCGAGTGGGAGGCGCAGGCAGAGCGCAGCTCTGCGCACCCCGACAGCGCGGCCAGCTCCCAGGACAGGCCGGGAGGGCAGGCACCTGCCCCGAAACCTGCCACAGACTAGCTCGAGACCTTGGGTAAAGAAGGATTTCTCTTACGCTTCGATTCCTCTATCTATATAATGGGTATTACGTACTCACCTTCACAGCACAGTTTGAGAATTAATCAGCTCTATGAACAGCAACGTCTGAGAATTAACCACTTCTGCAAACGGCTAATAGCAAATATCGTTACCACATCAAATGAGAAAGAAAACATTTCCCATTATTCCCCAGAGAGGACTTTTTGATTGATTCCTAACAAGGGAAGCTTTGTTAACCCTTTGATGAAGTTACCAGTGACACCCAATTAAAGCCTTTCTCCAGCAACGCAGGAAACCCATTGTGGAGACGAACACGAACTCCCCCCATGTAAGTCACTGTTCAGGCCCCGGTGGCGGAAGTGTCTGTTCCTTCACAACACACGATGGAATGGGTGGTGTGGCATCTGTCACTGGGGAGAACATGTTCCATTTTAGAATTCGAGGTGGAAATGAGCATTCATGTCCTTCAGACATTCGTTCTCTCACTTTGGAGAATGCACTGTTAGAAAAAATGGCGCCTCGGAGTGACAGCTGAGTGCGCAAAAATATGGCTTAGAAGAAAGGCATTATAAATTTTGCTCACGGACTTCAACTCCAAACCGGGTCTGGCCGGATGCTAGCACCCGTCACCAAGAACAAGGAAAGCTGACTTCCAAACGGCTTTTGCTGAGCCAGATAAAACGAACCTTATCAGAGCTGTACTGCAACAACTGGTCTCTGAGAACAGAGAGCCTTTTATGCCAGGTGCGGCCAGCAAAGCGGTGAGGGGAGACCACCAGGGACTCACCTGCAGGACAAAATTCTCCCAAGTGAGAACACATGAGAGCAGATTCTCACCCTGTGGTCGAAGTGTGTCATCAAAAGGGGTACTCTGTCTTAATAGCTAGCTACCGGTGCGGGGGCCTGAATGGGGACAAATAGGCAATCCAGTTGAATCATCTAAAATAAAGCACCACCAGAACACCACGGGCGGAGCTGACGACCGAGTCTGACCTCCACTCACACCTCACGCACCCGCAGCTTTTGGTCTCTCAGGATGAAAAGAGGAAAAAATGTTTTTAATTCAGTTATCAGCTGATATCAACAAGCACTGTATAAAGGAGAACATCGCTCAGAAAAACTAAACTAGAAGAGTCTACAGATCTGCTGAAAATGTGTCTCTATTGCCCCACCATCAAATTTTAATCACAAAAGTCTTCTTTTTTTACACTTAACCTTTTTTTTTTAATATAAAAGTTCAAATACTATGGCAGGGGAGACTACACACAGTAAAGTGTAAATTCCATCTCCCTCGTCCCGCACCGAAGGTAAGGGACAGCATTTTCTAACGTCTGTGTCCTTCTATTCCCACAGCCCTCAACTTCACAGGGCATCAGCATCACCTGCGACACTTTCTTAAAATACCAATATCTGGGCCCCACCTCTGCACTTCTAATTCAATGGGTTTAGGGCAAGGCCAGGTGATTCAATCACCTCCCAGGTGATTCAAACATGCAGCCACTATTCTTGATGCCTCCTGATGCATATACAAGCATCAACATCTTTATTCTTAATCCAAACAAGATTCTGCAATCTTATGTGTCTTTTTATAACACATCTTGCCATGTCATTTTCCTAGTAGCACATTATGATTCGTTCCATTCTTTTTAAAGGGCTGAATAGGACACCATTCTGTACCAGCATTTACTTAACCAATCTCCTACAGAGGGACTGATTCAGGGTTTTCCAGGCTTATTTCCAACAATGCTACCCTGAACGTCCTTACATAGTTTCCCTCAGTATCCATAGGGGAACTGGTTCCGGGACCGCCACACCCCCAAATCCACAGACACTCAAGTTCTGTATATAAAATGGAGTCGTATTCACATATAACCTATGCACATCCTCCCACATACTTTAAGTCGTCTATAGATTACTTGTGATACAATGTAAATGCTATATAAATAGTTGTTACGTTGTATTATTTAGCGAATAATGACATGTCTGCACATATTCAACACAGATGCAAGCAACCATCCTAGGCCCAGCTACATTTTCCAACCACAGCTGTTTGAATCCAAAGATGTGGAACCCACACATCTGGAGAGCCGACTGTCTAACCACCTGTGTTTCCAAACTCTGACCTATGTGTACAGTCTCTTATCCATAATTCTGAAACCCCAAATGCTCAAGGACCCAAAAAGCTTTTTAGAAACTCTTCCAGCAACAAAACCTAGCCTGAACTCAGATGGAGGTCGCATCAGAACTCACCTGAAGCTACTTATAGTCTTTATCTTTCTCCCTCCATGTGAATATTCATACATTTTGCTGCAGAAAGGTTAGTGTTTGATTATGGGGTACTGCCCCAGATCCTCCTGGGGCTGTCACATAATATATATTAAATGCACCATATTAGCTTTTGAATTCTGAAAAAAAAAAAAATCCTGAATTCCAAAGGAAGAAGGAAGGGTGACCTAGTGGGGAGCTCACTGCATGTGAGGCACGGTGCAACACAGGGGCTCCCACGGGCTTGGAGAGGGCAGTATCACCCCCATTTTGCAGGAGATGAAATAAATCAGACAGCTATGGATAAATAAATTTCTGTAACTGGAATTGCTGGATCAAAAAATGTATGCTTTTAACATTGATAGAGCTAATCTCTCCCAAAATAGTTGGCAAATTATTATACAAAGGGGAAAACAATACCTTTACGTGAAGAATCCTGGCAGACACGACCTCAGCCACGTGATCAAGGTTGGTATCACCTGTAATGAGGCACATCGACATGATGATGTACCCTGGTATGATGCACTGGGAAGGCAGGTCACCTCTGTGGTCTCCTGAGTAGTAACGTGCAACATCAGTCTTATCACAAGAAAATTCAGCGGAACTCAAATTGAGGGACATTCTATAAAACACTTGACCGGTACAGCTAATAAGATAGTGCCAAGGTTAATCTCTTAATTTTGATAAATTTTACGGTTAAAGAGAAGCTGGGTGACAGGGATATAGGAACTATCTGCACTATTTCTGCAATTCCAATTTGCAATTTGGAAGTCTAAATTATGCAAAAAAAATTCTTTGATAGATCTTACCATATTGGCTTCCAAAGCAGTTCCAATAATTTGCCCTTCTACCAGCAATAGGAGAATGCCTGTTTTCTCACATAACCCACGAAATTAAATTTTTAATGGCTGGTAATCTCATTAGTGATATTTTTAAATACATCAATTGTGAGTATAAATGAGTACCTTTTCATTTATTGGCCATTTGCGTGTTCACTTTGGTGAAATGCCTTTCCGTATTCTTTTACCATTTTTAAACTAGAGTGTTCATCTTATTAATTTTCAAGAGATCTTTTTAATGTTAAAGATAAACTAATCTTTGGACTTTCATGTGGATAATTTGTTTTCAACTTTTCCCTTATTCTTTGATTTTATAGAATTTTTGTCCAAAGTTTTTTATTGCTGATGTTGTTTTAAATAACCTAATCTTTTTGATCTTTTTATTGCTTCTGAATTTTGTTTACACTTAGAAAGGTATTTCCTACTCCAAGTTTAACTATTTGGAATTCTTTTTTATGTAAAGAGTAAGGAAATACAAAGAATATGGCTTTTTTTTTCCTGTAATGACCAGCCAGTTCTTCTGGCACCCTTCACTAAATTATTTATTTTTACCTAGTGTTTTGAACTGCTATCTCTGTCATACATGAAATTCCCTAACAATATACTTTTAGATGGGACCTTGCAAGTCCTTTTGTTATTCTGGCAGATATAACTCAGTGGATGGGTGTATTACAAGTTTGGAAGCAGAAAATAAACTCAATTCTCACTTCAAGGAAAGAGTACAAATGAGCATTTAATATTCTCCTTCTTTTAGCCAATCAATAGAAAATTTGCTGAGCAACTACCATGAGTCAGGTGCTACGCTGGCATGAGGCAGCTCAGGGTAGTGTTAAGGGGACAAACTGGAAGCCCACAGTCACGTGTGACCCTGGCTCCACCTGCCAGGAGCAACAGGACCTGCCTGTGCCTCACTGTCCTCCTTGCAAGGTTATTAGGAGGATTAGTTAAGTGAGAAGTGCTTAGAACCACATCTGGCATACACCAACTGCTCAATAAATGTTGACATTATTATTATGGAGGGAAAGATGAATGACAGATCATTTCTAGATTCCCATTTTATGAGGAAAGGGCGATGCTTGTTTCCTTTCCACAACCTTTCTCCTTCGCGGTGACCAGCCCTCTGCTCTCCTCCCATTGACTTGGCTGCCAGTGAACCAACGGTGACTGCCATCAGTCTGACTCCCAGACGTTGCGACAGCAGTAGACACCCCAGACCAGGACCATATAATGAAAAAGGGAGGTTTGAGGAAGCCAAACATTGAGTCCAGTTCTAGAAGCCCATCGCTGAGACCCAGAGCTTTTCTGACCAGGAAGGTGAGCAGCTGTCCAGAGAGCAGCGTCAGGAGAGCCCTAGGGCTGCCCAGGCAGGACAGTGACACGCGGAGGGGAGGGCACACACTGAGCCTTCAGGCCTGCAAGGCCCTTCATCACTGCCTTCTGGGACTGTAGAAACCCTTACTGCTGAAGGACAAGGGACAGATACCGGTGAGAAATGACCAAGACTGATAAAGACTGAGGGCAGGAACTCAGAGCCAGAGTTTACCGTGGTCAAATATTAATACTTCAGACACTCTCCTCTTCCCCACCTTAGAATTTATGTGGACTGGGGGTGAGACAGAGTGGGTGAGA